AGTGCATCACGCGGCCGAGCCTTGATACCGCGCAGCTACCTCTCAGCACACCATATTTTCACGGCATAATCTCATCTAAGAGGCCGCGCCGCTTTTTCTATGCCTCGCGAGCTGCTGACCCGTCACGTGCAGCGCTTCGAAAAATTTATAATAAGAAGAAAGGAAAATGCTGAACTTCGGTGTGTGCGTTGAGATGCATTTTGAATGAGAAAAACGGCACATTGCATTTGTGCGAGAGAGAAAACGGGGATTTGTGTGCATCCTGCGATCTCTGTGCAATTACTGAGGTCATCAGAAAATCGACCGTTCTCGTCATTATCGCAACGAGTGCCGAGAGCAGAGTGGCGTGAAAATGCGCCGGAACGCCTCCTTATGAAAACTCACGATGCATTTATTTTATAGGTTTATTTTTCGAATAATGGAAAAATATGAAATGAAATTGTTCAGAAATTAAACGTATAATATTGTTAACTGCACAAGAGCGCAAGAAAATTAATAAAATCATAAAGAAAACTTTGAATTTTAAATTTTTTCTAGCTATTTAATATAATTTTTGCCTTTTTTCTTCTTTTGTGGGAAATGTTTTGACTTGAATTAAAAAAGTTTATATTAATTTGAAGTTAGAAGAGCTTTTTTGTTAAAATCAAACTAATAATCGGCCTTTAAAGTCTCATCGTCAATCTTATAAGAACAGAGATATTTTGTGCCTCAGTTTTTTTTTAACAAAATTCGCACATTGCATCATAAACTGCTCTGACAAAAAAAGTGGTTACAATTCAGGTTAGCAGATGCTAAACGTTCTCCGGCAAACATCATCTCATTAGCATATTTTACTTAATCATGCATACATGCAAAGTATGAATGATTCTGTTACATTATTATATTTTTACAACATCAAAAACCAGCTTCGTCTTCGGCGCATGCGGGTAATTAACTCGGTTTTAACCAAACGAGAGTGAACTTTGAACGAAAGTGAAGAGTTTTTCTCTGAGGTGGTCCTGCATTGTCTTTATATGTATGAAATTCGGCGCGGCTAATAGACAATAAATCGTAGGTAATCGGCCTGGCGGCAGCGCCCAAAGCAGAAGCCGCCGCCGGTAGCAGAAAAAAACAGACACACACACGTGAGGGTGGACGGGCCTAAAATGTTTGTGTGCGCTGCATAGCTAATGGTGCCAATACCATTATCTTGCTCCTTTTGTGATCGCCGCAGACAGGATGCGAGACACCGCCCCACTCATTACACACACATCCAGCAATGCATATTTCCCTCGGCTCAGTCAATAATCCACTGACTTTTTGATACTAAAATGCCAAGTAAGGAACAAAATAAAGTATAAATATCCAAGAAAGAATTAAATTTTAAATTAAATTAAAAGTGATAAAATAGTTCGTAAATAAATAATAAAAAATTTATTTTTTGCTTCATATTCTTCTGAATCCAATGTGAATTAAGGAATTAATATTTGATTTCATATAAAATAAGAAAATTAAGAAAATATTTAACAGTGAAATTAAATTTGAAATAAAATTAAAAATATTAAAATATCAAGAAATAAATAATAACAATAAAATATTCATATTAAACGAAAAATATTTTATTCTTTATATTCAACTGATTTGTATGCCAAGCAAGGAATTAAAATTTGATTGCATATGAAACAAACTTTAATTTAAAATATCCAACATAAAGAAGGCCAAGAAAGTTTGAACATTAATAAAAATTTATATTAAAAATATCCTCTTTTTCAAACAATATCGACAAATAAACAACAATAATTTTTTGAGTTGGGTCAGTTATAAAAATTACTTTTGTTTTATTTTTGTTTGACCTTCAATGTCATCAGTCATTGCTTCGCCTTGTCCTTCGTCGCTTGGACTCTTTGATAAACAACGCGCCACACACAGAATAAATAAGCACGCGTCCGACTTATGCAATGAGTTTCTGTGGCACACACAATTAACATGCGGAATCGCAGAATCGCCGAGCAATTTCAGCTGGTGTGTCCGAAGACACCTCGCCTCTGTAAAGGCTTCCTGTGCCGCCGCCGCCGCCGCTTTTCTGCGCAAGGCGCCGACAATTTGCATTTTCATCGGCCACTCTGCTGATTATATGCAAATCGCAACGCACGTGAGATGGACCTGTTCCCACGGAGCGGCAAAATGCGATTTCTATGCACACACGGGTGGATTTGTGGGGCGTTGCAAAATTAATAGAGTTCACCATTGAAATATAATTTCAAGTGCAATTAAGGTAGTTCTTTTTGTAACATTTTGTGCAGTTTTTCCTCAATAAGATAAGAATGTAAAATTTTACACTAAATTTTTTAGTTTCCTGTGTCGCGCACAGCCTTAATTATATGCTTGGCAAGGAAATGTGAAACCTTAATGCTAAAAAATGCCACTTTTAACTTTATTTCAATTTTTGTTATAATTAAAAAGAACTGCTGGTTCGTGCAATTTTGATTAATTTCCAAAACTGCAATCAACACTTTTGTAGATCAGGTGCTGGATACTTGATTGCTATTTTTGACGCCTATTTTTGAGCAATCAAACGGCACATCTTGTAAAACCAATGAGCATAAAATGAGTTGACATTACAAAATTTTTGATAAGGCCCCGATAAAAAAGGGTTCCGTTCTGTGTTGTGTTCACGCTTTGAAAACTGTCATATCATTCGCAACTCGCGGTCTTGATATGCCTGATACACTTCCTTTCAAACCAATTAGAACGATTTGTGCTAGCGTCTGCTGCGCTAGGACGGGTCTAAAAATTCTATTTTTTTAATATTAGTTTCATACATAAACAAATCTAACAAAAATTTAATTGAAATTTTTAACAAAAGTTTAATAAAATGAGGTTGATGTTCTTTTTTTAGTTCATACAAAGCTGAAATAATTAATGTAAAAAATTAATGATTCTAATATTTTGATATTCAAATAACCTCTAATAAATTGCAAATAATTATCATCAATTACATTAAATTTTTGCAAAACAATCTGCAACTGCAGGTAATGGAAAAATTCAATCAATTTTTTAACGTATTTGATTTACGGAAATAATATAAAAAAATTTCATATATTTGATTTTTGAAATCAAATTTTTAAATTTATTTCCCGTCGGAAATATATTTGGCTGAAATGCATGATATTCATTTCCGTTTTGAAATTGCATCCATTTTCCAATTTGAAAAAGAAATATTCACAGAAATTCAAAATTATAAACGTCCGTTACGATATTTTAGCCGGGCAGAGCAACTCCGCGTTTATTTAAGTATAAAAGCAAAAAGACGAAAGCTGTTCCCTTTCCTGTGCCTAATTGAGATTCTCATCCTCGCCGGTCCCAAATTATTCCGCCGCTCTAATAACAACAATAATATACCGCGTGCGCCGCGCGCGGTGTCCCTTTCCTAAAATAATAACTCTCCCTTATTGCGGTGAGCGGCGCAAATTGCGGTGCGGAGGGCGAAAATTTCGTGCATAGGCCAACAGATCACTCGGCTCTTTTTTTTATACCGCGGGCTCATTTAGGTGTGATTATGTCCATTATTCGATGTGACCGGATATAATTTTGTTTCCTCTCGTCCGCGTGCGTGCCGATGCAACGGCAAATTATATTATACACGAAAAATTGGGTGACTTTGCCAGATGACAGCGTTTTTCCTGACAAATGTTCTAATCAACCCTTTTGTGCCGCTTCAACATCATAATTAGCTTCTCTTCTGCTTGTGCGCCACACGTGCTGACAAACTCGTGTTGGTTTTGGCTTTTATCAGAAAAAGGCCACGACACTTGAAATTTTTTAGTCGCTATCAAAAGAGGGAAAAGACGTGAAAAAGGAAACCGACAGTTTTGAGACAATTATATTTTCTTTATTACACTTTTATTTAAAAATTTTCTTGTATTTTATACTCTGGAAATTTATATTTCCATTAATTTTTTTTCCTATAATCATTCGCATTGTTTTCAATTATCCCACTTAGTCAACTTAAAGAGTTTTGGTATCAAAAAATCAGTTAACTTAGAAAAGCACTCAGGATATATAAATTTTATTTCAAATTTCATTAATTTTAAACAGAAAGATTTAATTTTCAAACTTTTATGGTTCCAAATTAGGAATGAATAATTAATAAAAAAGTTTATTTTGTTAAATTATAAATTAGAAATTTTAAAGATAAAAACCTGCAGAATATTAAATGATGTTTTAAAATTAAATACTTTAACAATAATTTTAGTGCCAAACTACTTTTGAAAAAAAAACTTTACTATTAATGCACAATTTTTTTACGCAAACATAACCGAGTTCATTTTAAACAGCATAAAATTGAAACTGACCCAAGGTGCACGGCACCCACCAATTTCACGTTTCCTGCGTTGTTATCAGAAAAAAAAGCGTCGCCGGCTCGTCGCTGTAAATATATAACATTGTAGCAAATTAATGCTAATACCAGGGGCCGAAACTGACCTCAGTCTAGACTTTTTTGTCGGCACAGGCGCCTGCTTTTTCCTCTTCCAATAAAGTGACCCTTCGTGCGGCGGCCATAAATCCTCGAGCTGTCCGACACCGCTTCATAATTTCGCGGCACTTTTCTCAATTCGGGGGAGCTGCAGCCCCGGCTGACCGTCAATCAATCAAAAATATTGGACAGCTTTCGCGGCCGCACTAATCATAATAGTATAATTTCCGAATTTCGGGGATGAGACGCCACTTAATAACCCTCATTTCCATGAAAAGAGCTGGACCAAGAGTATAGAAAAAGTATCTCGTTGCACTAAAAATGGTAATTTTATGGGATATAATCGCTTTTCTGATTTCTTATAAATATTTATCCAACTTCAAGGCTGGTCATCCAGCACCAAATTGAGGTCTCTAAATAATTCTTGAAAAGGAAATTTTGAAATACATAAAAAAAAATACAAGTTTCAAGCTCATGACTGACTTTTAAATCTAGATTAAATTTTTGTACGACTTACTTGAAAGAATTTTAGGCAGAAACTCACCGTGCGAGCTTTTTCCACTGAGGTAGTCGTCCTTGCAGATGAACTTATTGTCGTCGAGGACGTAGAGTTCTTCGCCAGTGCTTAACTGTTTTCGACATACAAGACACGTGAAACAGTTCAGGTGGAACACTTTGTCCCGCGCTTTTCTAACTAAGTCGCTCGGTGAAATCCCTTGAAGACAACCACCACACTTCGTGCCGTAACGCCTGCGAACACACAAAAAATGACACAATTAAAACGAAAAGGTTAGAAATTTTTTTAACCAGGGTTAGAAATTGACTTTGGTTTGGCAATTTTCGGTTTAATAACAATTTGGCGTATCGGAATCAAATAATTTCCCCGGAGTTATTATCAGTTGGGTAAATATAAAATGAATGTTTTCGCTTAATTTCCCCCCGAATCGATTATCGGCGCGCAAATTATACACAGCAAATAATTAATGGAATTGCCCTCAGGAAATTTACAAACAGGACGCCGTGCAGCGAAATCATTTCCGAATTATCAAGATGAAAAGCGCCAAAATTAACACCGAAATCCTCGCGCATTGCAGAGCGAAAATGGCAGAGAAAACATGTCGAGAGAAAAGTTGAAAAGTTGGCCGCTCGACGAAGGCTCGGCTTGCGAGATAAAAGCGCGCGAGTCATCGCAAAAGCGGCGAATAATTTATAAGCCCCCAGATGTCCACACACACAAGCCGGCCAGAATATATAAAATCTCGTCGTCCGATACATAAATTATTACACACCACACAGCCCTGCAGCTAAACTCAATTATCGCGGCAGAGAGAGACCCACAGTCGTGGCTATGCTGGTATGGAAAGCGCTCTTTTTGAATATTACATTTAGGCTCATTTTTTATTTACTTGCTCCATAAGTTAAGTTCATAGTATTTAGCATCCGATAAACTGCATTCAGATTAATTTTAATTTCGCTATTTGCGTAGATTTTGGATAATAGGTATTGACATTCAATGTCTTCAATAGTATACTTAAAATTGAATCAAACAAAAAATATGATATATACGATATAAAGATTAATTTATACAAAAGTTAAATTATATAAAATTTACTAACAGTATTAAAAGTAAAGCAACTTTAAAATATTTATTATAAAATTTCATGGCATACAATATTATAATTAATATTTTAAAATGTTTAATTAATTAATGTTAAATTTGTACATATATTTTTTTATTTACATGAAGATTGTTTAATAATTGCACGCGTTAATTATGCTTTGTTTAATAATTTATATATTTCTAGCATCATTTGAAGATTGAAAAAGATATGAATACTGAAATGTTAATGATACAATTGCGAAATCTAAATTAGAGTTAATTTTTATAATATAAAACATTACTCACATTAAAAAAGAAACATTGATAAAATTACTAAAATTAAAAATGCAAATTCAGATTTGAGTAGTCAACAAATTTTTCTGTTTTGGAGTAATAGGAGCATTTTAAAATAAATTTCGAGAAACAATCAATTGAGAAACTTATAATAAATAAACAATGTACAATTGCACACTCTGGAGCAGGCGTATATACTCGCACACGTATTCATCAAATTATTTTCCATAATCCGCCGAACTGTTTATGAATATGCATCACTCATTTGAATAATTTCACGAGATGTGTGGCAGAGTGATTATTAAAGTGTGCGCGACTGTGTTTGTACTTTTTAATAAGTAATAATTTTATGTTCGAGAGCTGTGATGCAACCGCGGTGAAATGTTATATACGCGCGCCGTGAATACATAAAACTGCATCTCATCACCATCAAAGATTTATGCGCGTCTGTTTCATATTATTATAAATATATAAATTAAGGTAAAACACACCAATTGCGAGTTGACTTATTTTACTTCCACGCACGCCAGGTAAAAATTATTGTGTTTAAAAACTAATCCGATTAATTTATTTATGCCTTGACCTGAACTTGTTCTAATTAAAATGGTGATAAAATAATCAATAAATTATACAGGTGCTTATTAATAGGGGCTGGTCATTGAAAAGTATGCAGAGAGCATGGATAATAAAATGTCTTGTACATCATAAACTAAACTATAAGGATAAATATTTTTAATTATGAATTTAACTTGACTTATTCTAATTATGATTTTTTTTAGTTGAAAATTTAAATAGGGTCTTTTTTATCTCAAATGTTTCAGCAAAATTCTTGTTATTTTTCTTCCAGCAATTCTATTGTTTTCAACAATTGAATTTAGATATAATGTTGATGTTATGTAAATATTTTAACAAATAAACAAAAATATAATAATGAAAAATTTACCAAAATGTTAAATAAAACAAAAATTGGCGTTTTCTTTCTGACAAAGTGCAAAAATATTAATAATTAGATGCATTTAAATCCAATTTTAATAAAATCTATTCTAATATACATACAATTTGTATACATTGGCAACAAAAGCCTAAATATGGAGACTTTGAAATGCGGTAATAATTAATTACCATTTTCCACACTTCATTTGCTCGATTTACTCCACTCGCAAAATAAACTGTAACATGGCTGCGCATCAACTTTTAAATTACTCATGCATATAAAAGTGCACAATCGCATAAAAACAAACGCCCTCTCAATTAATTACCAGCAATTACACCTTTAATTTGAAATTTTGCACATTTATTATATTATATACATTTGCACCACACCGTACTAAATGTCAAGAACCGTGAAATTATTTTTATATTTTTCATTATGAATTAAGTTTTGTCAGCGCGTCAGCGTGGGTGGTCATCAAGGTAGTTAACACATTTCCTGACATTTTCATTCTTTTTTCTAGAACTCCTTGACTTTCAACATTTGATAACATATGCGCGCACCCACGAAAACAGATAATAAATTAAAAAAGAAAACCACACGTGAAATTTATTTGCCTCAATATTTTCAAATTGTAAGACATATTTGAGAAATTTATTGTGATCTAATTAAAATTGATTAAAAATAAAATTGCCAAAAATACTTTTGTTGACACAGAAATCATGAAAATTTATCACAATTTTCTTTCAAAATATATATGAAGTGAAATTTTAATCAATTTGTGGACGTTTTCCAAAAATTGAAGTTGTATAACAAATTAAAAGGTTGGAGGCTTTCATTTGTGAAAATGCCTAAATTATTCGTCGCATTTAAAAAATAAAAAAAAGGTACGATTTTTAAAGACAAATTTTATTTTTCTATACTTTTTTTTCCTTTACTTTATCGGAAATTTTGGAGGAAATATTTATAATTTAGAAATATATTTATTTTTTGAAACATGCAGGTTTTCCCGAAATGAAATCGTCACTTCGGGGTGTCAACTTGGAGTGTTGATCCAAACCGCTTTGCGCTCACGCGTTTTTCACTTCGGCAAAGTGCGCGAGAATCTCTCTCTCTCTTTTCAATTGCCAGTAACAATAAGCCGCGCCGAGCTTTTTGTTATTTTTTTTATTTTTCAAAACCGGCAGCGGCACAAACGAACGAGAGCGAGGTGCAAAGTTTGGTTATGAATACAAAATGTTTGTGCAGCGGCGAACCAGCAGTCGAGAGAGAGGAACAAAATATATACGAAAAGGGAGGCGCGCCGATATTATTTTAGGCACGTCCCCGAAAAGGGAAGATATTTTCCATTGTGCTCCTTGGCGGTTTAAAATTTATATTTCCACGCACAGAGTCAGAGAGAGAGGCTGCAGGTTTTTCATATTGATTTCGCAGCGACTGCATGAAATAAATATATAAATATGCAGCGTCGTGCGCGGTGTGTGCATTTGTTTTATCAAATGAATTACAACCCCAATAAATTTTTACAGTGCGGCAGTAAAGTTGTACAAGCCGGAATATAATATTGTGGGAGCAGATAAAAGCGCGGAGAGTTTGTAAATCTGCTCCGGCTTTTCGAGAGAGTATCACGGAAGTTCGGAATTATAATATAATTCTTTTTTCTATAAATATACATCGGTCGGCCAATGCCGAGGAGTTTCAGTGTTTTCCGACCGGGCATGTTTTTATGCAAATGCGCCGCGTGAATATCACAATGCATGGAAATTTATACGCAAATATTTAAATTTCTGAGACCAAGAGAGTGACTTTATCTGCCGGCAGACGCCATTTTTCGGTTCATGAATTCGTTTCGGCAGAACTGGCTTTGTTTTTCCAGGCAGGACTTAAGGGAAATGTTAATATAAGTCAAAAGGTTTTTATCTAATACAATCCAAACAAGACATAAAAAAGCACTACCGCAATGTAAAAATTAAATAAAATGATAAAAATAATCAAATTTTTATTTAGTATTTCAAAATTTATACTGAAATTTAAAAAAAAAATACAAAACATTGGAAGTTTTATTTACTATATAACTTCACATCATAAAAACTTTAACAATTTGAAGAAAATGTTTATCATTAAAGTGTTGCAATTTCATAATTTTATACATGTCATGTCTCTGTTTTTTCAGTAAAATGTAATTTTATTGGCGCAGACACTGAATAGCCCAGACATCCCAATTTACGCAATTATTTACTATTGTACTTCCCTGTGTGGTCAAAGAGAATTCTGAATAGCCTAATTTCACTCTCATATAATACGAAGAATTGCCGATAATGCGGCTGCCGATTTCCTCACTAAAGAGGGCCTCTCGCTTATGATGGAGAAAAGGAGAGACGCAAATTTGCTCTGGCGCCAGAGCTGCTGGAGAATCGGCCAAATGGTATCACGCTGCGGCACGAATTTCTTTTGTATGTGTGGTGCTGGCTCGATTTTCTCGGGCCGCGAACGAGGTCTGGAAAGGTCTTTCACTTGCCTCTCAATGCAAAAAAGTATACATAAAATCGTCTGACGCGTGCTGATCACAAAAAGAAATGAGAATGGACAGAGAGAATTGCAAACCTGCAGTTTTCCTTCTTGGCTTATTCGGATTGATGAAATTTAAATCAAAACGAAAATTGAAATTTGCTTAAATTGTGCACTATGAGAATTCCATAAACCCAACCCCAAACTTTTATTCATATATCATTATTATTAATTTCAGTTGTTTATTTCTCCAAATTGTTACACCACATAATTTACATTCAACTTTTGAAAACAATTTATTTTAAATTAATGAATTTTGTACAAAACGGTTCCACTAGTAAGAATTTAAAGCTTCAAATTTCTGATACCAAAACCGCCGGAGTGAGCCTAATTTGTTCGTGAAATAATTAATCAGTTGTGAAAATATATCAAAGTCTTTTGACCGTCAGTGCAGTATATCGAATTTTCGTACTTTTGTTTTTGCATTATTAACATTTAATAACTACTTCATGTTTTTCGAAGATTCAAAGACCGGCTTATGACTTTTTTGATAGAAAACACGGCCATATATATTTATCTCTACTTATAAATAACTTTTTTAAATTTTTTTAGGTTTTGAATTAAATTTGGTGTTGAGACTCACCTAAAAAAGTCGTTCCTACAGAAGAGCTTGCCCTCCCTACTGAAGCACTTTTCGGTGAGGTGCGCGTTGCAGTCGTAGCAACGCACGCATTCGGCGTGCCACGCTCTGTCCAGCACGTTCAACAAGAACTTGTCGAGGATGGGTTTGTCGCAGGCGGCGCACGTGATGATCATGTTGCAGGCGGCCGCCGAGTGGAGGGCCGCGGCCGCCCGAGGACCCCCGCCCAGGCCGCCGGCCGCCGGGTACCCCAGCTGGTGGTGGTGGAAGTAGGGCGACAGGGTTGTGTTGGGCTGCTGCTGCGTCACGGTCCCCAGCTTGTCGCGCAAAATGCACACGGGGTTGATGAGCACGCTGCCCCCTAGTTCATTGCCGCCGCCGAGGGTCCGCGGAAGCCTCTTGGACGACGTCCTGCCCGAAAGATCCAGCACGCTGCGGACACGAATCTGCGCTTGAATTTGTATCGCGCGCGCGATCGAGCCCGGTCCGTTCGCGCCTGGCGTTGCCACAACACTGAACACTGACGAGGCTGGCCGCGCTCCCGCCGCGGCTGCCCGAAGGCGGCCACGCGCAGAATCCGGCCCCCCTCGGCCCGGCCGCCGCCGCGCCACTCTCGACCCTCGGCCCTCGAACGCAAGAGCCATCGCAGCCGCCGCGGCCGCGCTCGCCATGCACGCGGCGCCGCCGCCCATTGGTCGGCGGGCGGAGCCGCCGCCGCCGCTTTTTTCACACTCGTCGCTTTTCAACGCGCCTTGTGTTTTTTGATCGTGTCATGTGTCGTCTTGCCATTGCAATATGCTAATGTGCAGTGCATCTTTCGGCGCCTCTCGCGTGCCGAACACGCTCACTTGACCTCTGACCCGGCTGACCCATTTGCATTCCGCTCGCACACACACACTCTCTCATTCAGAGTTTGACAGGCTCGTGTCACGGACTTTGAGTGAAAAGACTGACACTTTGTTAAGAAACTGGCAAACGTTTATAAAAATAATAAGAAGACCATATAAAATTATATCTCGCATATTATTTAAAGCTAATTTAATATATTTATTGCAATTAATAAAGCTATTTTGTACACTTTTATTCAATATATGAGTAATAAAAAAATTTTATTTTATTTACATTTATTAAAATTGATTTTTTTATTTGTGGGGTTAATATCTATGGTTGTCTTATCTCGAAGTGAATATTTCTTGACAATCCTCTTTTTTAGCAAATAATTGTATATTGTAATGTGAAACTGTAATCAGTTAATATAAATATAATAATTAAAACTAAATAATTGGTGGTATCTTTCCTGCCTGTCGTCTTGTATATTAATTATAACTAAAACATATTTGTAATTAAAGTGATGGACCACAAAGCAATCTGTATAACCCAAATCAGAATATCTCACATTCAGCTACTTGAAAGTATGACTTGAATCTATACACAAATTGGAGAAACACATGAAGCAATGAAAAAAATTTGCAAGTTCATAATAATTATTTAAAGTTTCGTAGCATAAATTACAATTGAAAATTATTTTCAAATTATACATTAGATCCTATTTAAAAAAAAAAAACGAGATTCGCTTAAATTTAAGAATGAGAACTGTATTTAAAATTTTTTCAGGCTTTGCCTTTTAATTATGAAATATTTTTAAGATAATAACGAGAATTCCAGGCCTCTGCCATGGCTTAATATTAAATTATTATTCGTCCGGAGCTTTTGATTATGAAGAATAGAAGACAATAAAAATAAATTATCACTTGATGGTCCCTCGATCTTAAGCTCTGGTCCAGCTCTGTGTTTTCTACTCCGAACGAGATTAAAATTGCCCGAGGTGTACGGCGGTGGTCGCTCTTCAGAGTGAGAGGAAAAAGCGGCGTGTACACATTTCTAATATTTATGCTCGCCGGTGCGTCAAGAAATATGGTTCGCAATAAGTTATGGCACCAGAGTCGCTTTAGAACAAAGAACCTTTTCCCCTGCGCCTGCATCGCCTATTCATCATCGGCCGCGACACTGACAAATGCGCTCCTTCTGCACCACCGCAGCACCAAAAGCCACCGCGCGCGCCTCGCGTAGGGAGATCACAAGCGGCGCCGTTTTAGCATTTCGGGGGCCCCGCGCGTATTTTGTCTTACTGTGTAATTTGTTTTTATCTCCTTGTTAACTTCTCACTCTGCGTATTCTGCTGTTATTGTCAAGTTAAAGCTGAAATTTTCACCAATTTATAAAATATTCACTATAAAAAAATTTTAATTTATTCACCTCTTATTGTTCAACAAAACACCACAATTTTCATTAAAATTGATGTGTACATTTTTCCACCTAACGGCCATTATAATTAATTTTTGGCTTATTTCCTCTTGTTTAATTTTTTCATCGCAACATGGCAATTTGAATTACGCATTTGGAGAAATTGAAAGTGCAGACGCTTTTGTTGCCTACTTTACATAGTTTTTTACACGTTTTAAATGAAAGGGAAACTTCCAACTTTTATGGAATTGGGCAGCTTTTGATAGCCAATCCAGAACACCCAAAGATTGATAATTTAAAGTTGCGTATACCAACTTTAGTCACGATCGAAGTATCTGCTCTTCTAAAAATTTATCAAAAATCTAATTATTATAGATTTAAATGGAGAAGACTTTTGGCTAAAAAAGTCCGTGCACGCAATCAACTTAATTGCTGATAAAATAAAACTTTTATAACTTAATTTGAAGTATGTATTTTTCGTACTAGATTGATAAATTAAACTATTTATTTTCCAATTACTATTATTGTTTTATTTTCATAAAAAAATTAATAAGCGCAGTAATTATGTATATTATAAATTGACAATTTATTTTGAATCGCATACATGATAAAAAATTTAGAAAACAAAATTCAAATTTTTGCATTAAAATTAGAGGAATTTTTATGACTTTTGAGAGTCTGTTTTGCTTTAATCAACTATTTGAAAACAATATCAATTTTTAATTTGTCCTATGATTAAATCCAATTTAATTATGTATAATCATTTCCAATAATTAAAAATCCAAAACAACACTTGGTATTCAAAATCAACTATTTAAGTCAATCACTATAACACACTTTACAAAACGTCAGTAGATTACATATAATTATATATTTTGTATTAAATGAACAAATATTAAAGTGATTTTCATAATTTCAATTCACAAATGACTCTTTTGCCTACAGTAAAATAAAATTTGATAAATATTTAACAAATTGGAAATTACATAAAATTTTTAAAATAAGTTTTGTTATGCATTAAATTCATAAATTTTCTTAAAACGTTTTATTTATTTTAAAATAAAGTAACGCTATTTTAAACATAATTACTTCAATTACCTTGAAGCTGTTCATGATTTGAAGAGATACTAAATAATTTCACCTTGGTCACTGATGCCCCGCTTTTAAATTAGGTGGTGTCAATACAAAAAGCTTCGTATTTACGGCAATATATAGTAAAATATATTTCCGAATATGCAACTCCTCGTATTTATCTTTCCTTCTCGCAGCCTTTTAATTATTTCATCTCTGCTCGACGGACCGCAACCTAGGGCTATCATTATCAGGGAGCCGAAAGAAAAGCAGCCCCGGGTGTAGCTCGGGTTGCCTAAAATCTCCGAGAGTGGATTTTACGAGCGCAATTTATAAGCAAGCGTTGCGGAGAGGACGTATATATAAAAGCGAATTCGGATGGTATTGCTCTCGGTGCTCATTTTCTCATTCTCATGAATCACGACCGAACATAAATCCAGACACACCACCTGTAATTTGGTGCGCTGCAGAGAAGTGTATACGGTGCGCGCGGCGCCGTCTGTCGAAGCCTCTTGCGAAAAGGGATCTGCACTTGAACGAGCCCGAGGGAGTTCCTCGGAGCGGCGAGCCGCGGGTCAGCCTTAATTGCCGCTCGCTCGCCTTCAGCTGCGTATTAACTTCTTGTTTGTGCCTCCAGAAGCATCACACGGCACGGTTCGCCTTTAATCGCCCAATATGATCCACGCAACGAGAAATTCAATTGAATACTCTGTGCGATGACGAAAATGAGAGGAACCCCTCAATTAGTTCTAATTGCAACAGTTTTCAGGTTGGCGGGAGAACAAAAAGTGAGCATTATTTATTTGCTATGAAATTAAGGGATTTATAACATTTTAGAACTACTAAAGTTTTAATAAAATTATTTAATATGGAATTAATCAACATTTTTGTTCTCCATTTGTCATTTTCTGACTGAGCATTTTCTTTTCTCTTTTACTTACTTTAGCTTTTAATAAAATTAGAAGTTGAATAGTCCCTCAGGACATGAACATGGTGATTATATGTTTTTTCAACTATATCTTCAACCTATGTTTTTTCAAACGTGATAATTATATAAATTAAAAATATATGACCGTTTTTTATTGCTTCTTCTATGGTGATAAAAATTAAAATAAATCTAAATAAAAATGTTTTGTTAATTAATAAATTTTACTAATTATAAAATATATTTTTAATAAATAAAAAAACAAAATAGATATAAAAATATTATGTAATTGATATTAAAAATTATTTTATGTTTAATTAATAATATTTGACTACATTTTTGTTGCAAGCAAAATAATTAATTGTAAGGGCATAATATTTATGGTTTGTAAAATAGTTTTAAAACTTATTATAATATTTCATGTCATTTTTTATCTTTGTCTATCAAAAACCATAAAATTCAGGTCATGTGATATTGAAATATTTTTTCCCGCTGACAAATTAATTTTATTTGAATATTCAAATTAATTCGAGCCCCATTTGAGGTGAAAAAGAGAGCAGAGCATCGATTTATGGAGCTCCAGTTTAACTCTATAATTTTCTATTCTCAATAATGCCTCCCTTTCGCGCTCTCAACCTGCCGGCTACTCAATAAACACGACCGCGAAGCGTTTATACATATATTGATATTATTCCCGACTCACACAACACATATACCGCTTTAATAGCTCTTCTCTCTCAGATTCAGCCCCGTGGGTAAGAGCTACCGTGTGACGTTTGCAATTATAGGTCCTGCCACACAAACCAATAATTAATTGATTTTAATGTCTTGGTGAGAGATTTCCGCCGGCGCGGCGACCCTTCCGGGAATTATCATTAAAATAAAGTCAAAACTTTAATACCGGGACCGAATTTTGAATGTCAAAATGTGGTGCAAATTAATACTATATGACATAATCGGAATTTAAATCAGATTTCAAACAATAATAATATACGAATTTTGGACTTAAAATAATTTTTTTTAAAGGGATTCCATATATTTGCAATAATTTCATGCTTGAAGTTAGAAAATGTTGAAATCTCATTTAAATAAAAATTAAATTAAATTTTGTTCATATGTTTTGGTGATCTGTGCAGATATAAATGTAGATTAACTTTGGAAATAATTGTCTAATTTATTCCATTAAAGAAAACAGATTTAGATAATTTGAAATATAAATGACGAGAATTAAAAAAATATAAACTTATTAAGATATAATATTGAAAAATTTGCAAAATAAATTTTTCTCTTGTTTTTTTTTATTCTTTTAGTTGAGATCACAATTTATATATATCTCTGCAAAATATTTTTAAATTTGCCAAGTACAGATTATGAATCGCTCATTCAATAATTTACTTTTTTGTC